GCAGGGGAGGGAGCTCCTGGAGAGGTGATTTCCCCAGTCCGACGAACCGCCTAATGAGCTGGGGACTCATTAGTCCTGGCTCCGGTGACTGCCCCTGCCCCCCACCCAGGAAGCAGGCTCAAAGACAACCCTGGGTTCTTGGGGACACACAGGGAGCCCTAGGTCATGGTCTCCGATTGGGGGAAGTACATACTACGTGCCAGGTGCCTTGAACAGGTGACCTCGGTTAACCTGTTCAGTGATTACCCGCATTGCGCAATAGGAAAACAGGCCCTGAGAGAGAAAACCGCCTGCTGGAAGTCCCACAGAGGGCAGAGTCTAGACGGGAGTCCAGGTCTTCGCTACCCGTAAGGACGGGGGGGGGAGGCACTGCACAGCTGCGTGCAGCACCCTGCATGCTCCAGCTCCACAGGCTCTGGGGGGCGGGGGATGATATGACAGACACATCCTCAGCTACTCAGACCCTTGTCCCCACCCACCACCTACCCCTCCAGCCATCAGGCATCCGACTCTCTCCTCCTAAGATTCCAAGTAACTGAGCCATAATCAGGGTGCCTGCATCCCTGTCTATCCCACGAGGTCTGGGGACACAAGGGGCATGGTTCTCACTGTGGCTTTCCCATGAGCTCCATGGAGAAGCCTAGGCCCACCAGTGCTTCTTCCCCCAATCTCCTCTCATTATGTGATACCCCCATTAGCAAATGCCCACTCACCCTGCAGGGGCTCCCCCTCTTCCAGGAAGTCTCCCAACCCTCCTCCCAAGATCCTTAGGTCACTGCCTCTGTGCCCAGCCAGGTCACCGCACCCGCAGTAGTAACCCACTCTGCAGGTCCCAAAGGCAGGCCTGTGTGGATGCTTCCCGTCCGGCACCCGACCTGCATGGCAGATCGGCAGAAACCTCCTCCTGCTCAGGACCAGCTCTGGCCACACAGCCTCCCCTTGAGAAGCTGGGGGAACTGCCCAAGCCCCAGGTGCCCAGGTCTCCATTGGATCTGACGAGGCGTTGATGCTGGGGCCTCTGGGCTACCTCTGGCAGCTGCTGCTCCACCTCCCTTTCCTCGGCTCCCCTCAGAGGCCAGGGCCCCCATTCATTTGTCTCGTTAAGAGTCCTATAGAAACACATTTGTCCGCTCCACGCTTCACTGCTCCGGTCGTCAATTCTCTGGGGTGCTTGCCCTACCTTTTGCGGCAGCCCTGCCCACGTTTGCGGCTGGCCCCTGGCTAGCAGTCTCCCAAGCCCAGCTCAAGCCTGGCCACAGCAGGGGGACAGATCCAAACGTGTGTGCAGTATAAGGCAGGCCTGGAAGACAGACCCTGCCTCCCCGGTCAGGTCACCACGGCCCAGCCCAGGCCCCCGTTTCATGGTTCTCTGCCTGGGAGCAGAGCCCAATTCACCTATTTCAGGGTCTCTGGCTGGTTCCTACATTCAAGACCCTGACCTCTGGTTCTTAAGGGACCAGCGTGAAGGTTTTGTTGACTCTGCTCTAAAAACTGTTCTGCTCTGTACCAATTCCTACTGGGGGTCCAGGCCTAACCCACCCCTTCATTCGCCAGGATCTGAGCTGGACATGGCCTGATCCCTCAGAGCTCACAGTCCAATAGGCCAGGCAGACCCAAAGCAGAGAGTCACAATTATGCAATCCGAGGGAGCACAGAGGACTAGCACATGGAGGAAGCGATGGCTCCAGGTGAGCAGGAACTGGTCAGGGAAGGGGATGGGGAGGAGTGTTCCAAGCAGAGGAAACAAGAGGAACAGAGGCCTGGGGAGAACTGAGCACTGAACGAGGTCAGCATGGGGGGAGGAGGATGAGGGAGGAGAGGGTCCAGACTGCAGGATAAGGTTGGCAGATGCTTGACAATGCAGGGCCTAAAGAAGAGCTGAGACCCTTAGGCTCGATCCTGAAGGCAACAGAGAGCGAGTGGGGGGTTTTATTATTATTTTTAAATATATTTTTTATTGACTTCAGAGAGGAAGGGAGAGAGAGAGAGAGAGAAACATCAATGATGAGAATCATGGGATTGGCTTGAGCCCACAACCCGGGCATGTGCCCTTGACTGGAATCGAACCCGGGACCCTTAAGTCCGCAGGCCGGTGCTCTTTCCACTGAGCCAAACCAGCTAGGGCAGTGAGGGGTTTTAAACTGGTGGGGATGGGGGTGTGACATGATTAGGCTTTCATTTTGCAACGTGACTCTTACTTTGGAATGAAGAATGGATTATGAGAAAAGAGAGAGGAGAGCCCAAACCAGAGCTGAGGGTGGCTTGGGTGAAGGGAGCAGAGAGAGAAGTGGATGCATTCCAGAGATATTTAGAAGGTAGAAACAACAGAACTTGGTGATGGATTAGATGTGGGGTATGAGAGGGAGGAGGCTCGGAGGAGGCCGAGGTTTCTGACTTGGGTGGCTGGGTGGGTGGTAATGCCATGCGCCAGGAGAGAAAACACAGGAAGACGAGCAGGTTTGGGGGGATGAGAGTGAGGGGTACAGGCTGGGGCATGTTGGGTCTGAAGCAGGGGGAAAGGCAGTTATTCTCCCAGGATGTGTTGACTCCGAAAGCCCAGCTGGGCGGTTCTCCCTCTGCCTTCACGCTCCCTGTCTGAAGGCCCTGAGAGTGTCCAGGGTGGGGGAGGGAGAGCAATGTCCAAGGGCCACAATGTCCAAGGGCTACTGACCACACCTAAGTCTTGACAAGCCTTCGCCTCCCTGCCCATGTGGGAGACACCTGATGACTTTTACCCCAACCTGCCCCTACAGGCTCAAGCCGTCTCCAACCACCCCCATCCCCACCCTGCTCCGGCTGGTCCAGCCCTCTCATTGCCTGCACCTCAGTGCTCCCATTACCCCTCACCCCACGCCCTGGGAGGAATACCTCCCCTCCCTCTTGCCCTCCCAGCCCCACCAGGGAGGACAAAGGGCAGGAGCTCCAGTCCAACCCCTCTCCAGATCTGGTCCTGAATAATTAATGAGCCATTAGGAGAAAGGGCCTGTGTGGAGCAAGGAGAGAGATCTTTGCCTAGCGACTTGGAGAGGGGGGTGTGGAAAACCCTATGGCCTGCTGACCCCTGGGTTGGCCCTGAGCCACCTCTGGGCTCAGAACAGGCTGGGAACAGCCCCTTCCCCCAGGGACCTTGGCTCCGACCTCGCCCCTCCCCCTCAGTGTGCAGATTGGCTAAATCCGCCCTGTGCCCCGCCTCCCACCAGTAACCAAGCAATGGTAACCATGGTGACGGGGCGGCCAGTCTTGTAGTGCCAGGCAGGGGGAAGGGCGGCAGGAAAGGGACGAAAGTTCGGAGTTGGATCTGGGCAGGGGACAATCCCACCTCCTCCAACACACACACAGGGGTGCTGGAGCCCAGCTGCCTCCTGGGCAAGTGCAGAGGGCCGGGGAGAGGGGGATGCCCCTTTGTCTTGAAGATTCAGGGGAGACGGAAGGAGGGGCTCAGTGTCTCCACACCTCAATCTCCAGGGTCCAGCCCAGGGAAGAGCTATAATGGCTCTGCCTTCTGAGCCCTCTCTGTATCTGTGGATACAAGTGGCATTCCATGGTCATTCACATTCCTTGTGCATCACCCCCCCATTCCCACGCCAACCCCCGACACGGCTCACGCTGTGCCTTCCGCACAGATTTGCAGTGGCGGACACAATACACGCCTGAGCATGTCACCCAATGACCACATGAATCTTGGACATGTCTTACCGTCAGCCCATAAAACAGGATAACACTCAGACATGCCCAATCCTGCAGTGCCTTAAGGGACATGTGGCATTCCACAGGATGCATCCAGGAAGCATGGATGGGGGGGGCTCCGTGAGGGGTTCTCTCTAGGACAGAAGGTCTGGAGGGGTAGCTAGCCACCCTGTCTTTCCTAGGAGCCGGTCCTGCCCCCATCCCAGAGTCCTGCTAGGAGGGACACCATCTTTTGAGCTGGGAGATCCCACACCTTGAGGGGTCAGACTTACTGTCGCCATGGGCGCCCGCCACCAAACCAAGCATCACGAGTGCGGGCACAAGGGGCACCATCCTCCTCCTTGGTGCTGGTTCAGGGGCCATCCAGAGCTCCAGTGCCACGGCCAGCCACAGCCCAGGACAATCTACCTGTGATGGAGAGAAGGGCAAGCTAATCAACCAAAGGACTTATATGCAAGCCTATAGGCCTAACCAATGGACACAGACAACAGGGGGTGAGGGCATGAGTGGGGGGGGTGGGTAGGGGGTAACATGGGGATAAGGACACATATGTAATAACTTAATCAATAAAAAAAAGAGAGAGAGAAGGGCTAGTTAGCTGTTGTCCACCAATGTCCCTATTGCCCACCCATGCCACCTCCTGGCCTTACCACCCAGACGCCTGCTCATCTTCACTGACCATCCAGAGCCCAGTCCAACAGATCCCCCCTTGTACTATTCAATGATCACCTTCTGACCCCTGTGACCACCTAGGCTCCTCACTGACCCTCCAGTGACCCCCCGCCCCCCCAAAATAGCCCAATAGTCACACTATAGGGAGAGAGTATAAGAGGCCTTCAGGTCATTCCCTAAACCTGAATAGGGGGCAGGGACGCTCCACCCCAGATCCTGCCTTCCCAACTGGCCTCCATAAGGGGCAGGGACAGGGAAACGAGGTCAGAGATACAGAGACTAAACAAAACAAGACAGAGACAGAGATCAGGGAGAAGTTAGCAGACCCATACAGGCTAGGGACTCCAGAGCCCCTGGGGCACCCTGTTCCCCCTCATGTCTCAGCAGGGAGGGAACAGGCAGGAGGCCAGACCCCACATGCTGAGTGCAGACCTGAGCACAAACTTGATAGTGGCTGATAGGATCCAGGAATCAGAGGCTTGAAGTCAAAGCCACAGCCTGTCCAGGTTCGCCAGGACACGCTCTTGACAAGTTGCAGCTGCCCACCTGGCTACCCCCGTCCTACCAATTCCCATGGCACCTTCCCATTCCAATGGGAAACTATAGGGAGGCCCTAGTGGCCAGGGATGGGGGTGCTGAACCCTAGATTCAACCCACACCTCCTCTGCTCTTGTCCCAGCAGGGACATGGGCAAACTTCACAGAGCCACAGGCTCAAAAGTGTCACCCAACAGACAGGAACCTGTGCATGGGGAAGATCACATTTGGGGCCGACTGAATGCCTCCAGGCCTTTGCTCACACCACGAAGTACAGATGCACCGCTTCCGTGGCCCAGCCCCCATGGGGAACTCCTGAGGGCCTCTTCCATGTCCCCACATAGAGGGCTTCAGGGGATTCACACCAGTGACCACCAGCTTTGTTTCTACTTTCCTCTGGGCAGGGGCTGGCACGTAAGTCCCTCACTGATGCTCTAAAAATGCCACCAGACATAGAGGGCGAGTGATAGTGAACATACCTCATGGCCCTACAGTGGTACGCACTGACTCTGGTGGGAGAGTTGTGATCACAGCTGACCCACAATAAGAAAATTTGCAAGGAGGTGACAGGACTACAGGGAGAGAGTATAAGAGGCCTTCATAGAGGTGAACACAAAAGGACAGGGCTCAAAGGTGGCTCTACTCCTTCCTAGAACTTGAATCCTAGTCTCAACTGAGGAAGTCAAAGGTCATGAGATCAGAGGGCAGTAGGTGAGCAAAGGGGCTGGGACAAAGCCAGCAGGACTGTGAAGTGGAGCGGGCTGGACACAAAGGGAAATGGGTGGGAGATGTCCCTTGTCCTGAATCTTGCCAGAAGTCTGAGACAGGAGCTGAGCTGTGAAAGTAAGTTGAAAGGGGTATATGGGCATCCAGCCCCATCTATATAACACCTGGGGTTCTGCTCAATGATCACAGAGCTCAGGTGGCTGAGACCAAGAGAGGGAGCCTCCACAATTATGCCCTCCCTGCATGGCCATTTAGGGATGGAGGTCACATATCACAGAGCCCTGTCTGGGCTTGGTCATCATGGCCCTGTGTTCAGCGGTGCAGCCAACAACAGAATTCAACATCCCAGCAGACATCAGGAGGCGAAACGCCCTGTCAGGCTGACAAGCAGGTATGGTCCCGACACAACCTCCTGTAGTCTCTGAGACAGATATCATGGCTCATAGCTCAGTGGAGTGTTGCACCAAAAGACAGGGAGAGGGGCTTATACAGATATCATGGGGGCAACAATACAACATTCACAAAGGTTTAACCTCAGGGAAAGCAGCCGGTGTGAACCCCCGCAGTGCAGATATCGCAGGGACTCAACCCCGAGGAACAACATCCTGGGAGCATAGCTCCTTGGTTCGGACATAAAGGGGATGAAACGACATAAAACAGATATTATGGAGGTACAATTACACAGCACAGTCACCCTGAAATGTAACTCCCCAATATAATTATTACAGAGTCTTAATCCCCTGTAGCTGCCTTGGTGCACACAGCAATGTAACACCCAGGTGCAGACATCAACATAGTGTAGAGGTTCCACACATCATGGGAGTGCAGCTGCCTGGTAGACATTACAGTTGTATTACTCTCCAGTACTTTATCGTAGAGGTGTCACCCGTTATAGACTGAAAGGGTCCTATGTCCATAACACAGCCACCACGGGGATATAACACAGAGCAGACAGCACGAGGGACAATGTTGGATGAGAGTCTGACCATGGTGTCAGAGAACCTGGGCTTCTGGTAACCTCCGCTGGATGTGACAAAAGACAAGTGGCTCTTACTTGGGGACTCCTGGACCCCCTGTGTTTCTGGGTCTAGACCAGCCGTGGGCAAACTACGGCCCGAGGGCCGGATCTGGCCCGTTTGAAATGAATAAAACTAAAAAAAAAAAAAAAGACCGTGCCCTTTTATGTAATGATGTTTACTTTGAATTTATATTAGTTCACACAAACACTCCATCCATGCTTTTGTTCCGGCCCTCCGGTCCAGTTTAAGAACCCATTGTGGCCCTCGAGTCAAAAGGTTTGCCCACCCCTGGTCTAGAGTATGCACGACACTGTTCAGGTCCAGAAAGCAGAACAGACAAAGGTGGAGAAGTTGAAAAGACATTTCCTCCCCAGAGAGCTCTTCCAGCGGCCCATGGACACAGGGACATGGCTGCCCAGAGAGAGAGGAGGTACGGGGACACACAAACACAGACACTTTCTCAGGAACTACTCAGGCAACCACGTAGCTGTCCGAAGCAGGGCCTCTCCCTCACCAGCTCCTGGCATGAGCAAGCTGCCCTCCCGCCCCAGATTCTGGGCACGGAGCCTGTCCCGTGTCAGGTGGTGCAGGCCACTCCCAGCTCCGGGGCCTCCTCGTCAAGAGTCCCCGACCCCTGGGCGGCCCCCGCTCCAGAGTGCTCAGGGTCACCTGTGGGAAAAAGGTGGGCGAGGAGCAGGGCGGGGACGATGCCAGCGTGCTGGGGTTGCAGAGAATCCGGCGTGACAGTGTTAAGAGCAGAGCGTCCACCTTCGCCACCACGGCTGGGTGAGTCTGGGCTTTTAACACCTGAGATGAAACAAGGCCTGAACATTTGTACACTCGGACGCATCTCTGAACTGCACTGTGGACCATCGGTTCTAACGAACTGACATGGACAGGAAAACAAACTCCACACTGTATGATGCTGCAGAATATAATTAAATGCAATTTTCCTACATTCAGAATGGCTTCGAATATACAATAGACCCTTTTTCTTTGCTGTCAGTGTGAAACTGCCAACTGCCCTTTCTTGGGAAGAACTGTCCTTTATTCTCAAATTTTGTCCTTGGTGTTAAAATGTCCTTTCTGGTATGAAATGATGGTGGTAGCAGATAGCAGTTTTTTGTTTTTTTTAATAATGTCTTTATTTGGCAAAATAAAAAATTGCCAACTCCATGTCAGGCACCCAAGTGCTTTTGGAAACTGTACTGGTTTGTGAAATCAAAGACCCTGGGAGTCACTTCTCTGAGGGAAAAGGGAAGAGGGAGCAGGCACCACACCAAGCCACGGGACTCAATACAATCATCATGGAAATGCATGTTACACAGAGGTCACGTCACCTTCATGCAGCCCAACCTGGCCACCCTTGTCAGCCTTCGAGCCCCACCCCCCGGGGGCCCTGTGACGCCAGAAATGGGGGGGTTTCCCTGGCTGGAGCACAGCGGGGATCATTCTGACCTCCTCGTGAATATGCAAACACAGACTGATTTGTTTCCCTTCGGCACGTGTTGTTATTCACAAATATTAATTAATCTCCAAATACCACCTGTTCCTTCAGTCGCCTCCCCAGGCCAGAATCCTGGTTCCCAGGAGGCTGGGGCCCCAAAATGGACATCAGCAGAGGGAGGGGTATCCAGGGCCCCACAGAGCGCTGGCCAAGGGGAGAGGCTGGTGTTTGAGCAAGAGGAGCCTGAGGGCAGCGAGAGCTGGAAGCTGTTCATCTTCTAATCAGCGGGCAGCTAACCGAGCCCTTTTGTCACGTCCTGGACAGTTCACCGCGTGGCACTGCAGCAGCGGCCACGGAGGCGGAAACAGGCTTGTTACACTTGGGAAGGGAAAACCAACATGCTTCCAACTCTCACCAAACCAACCGCCGAATTATGACCGGAATAAATCACAGGCTCAGCCGGGACCCCAGCCCTGGGGAAGGCGGCAGCCGACAGCAGGCTGCCTGTCTCTCTTCCCGCCAGTTGGCCTGTCACTGAGCACAGCCACAGCCCGCCTGCCCTCCCACAGCTGGGCCCCCTCAGCTTCCCAGTCTCCCCTGAGAATGGAGGGGGGATTAGAAAGAGTGTCCCAGAGTCTTGGGGGGGGGGAGAGAAGAAGAGGGCATAAGGTCCAGCAGAGGCTTAGCTCTGGGGGCAGACCCAAGGGACCAGCAGAGGCACCTTCCTACGGCCACAATCCCAAGCCACCAGCCCTCAGCCTCCCTCCGCAGAGGAGTGGAGCCTCCCTTGGGGTAATGCTCACCAATGTGGCTGCCCCCGGGCCTCTGCACTTGCTGCTCTCTCTACTGGGAAGAAGGCCCTTCTCCTGTCCCCACCTACTCACCTTTCAGAACTCAGCTCAAGTGACCCACCCATCACTAACTAGCTTCCTGGACTGGCCACCCCCAGTTTTCCAGGTTTGTACAGATTAGTAAAGGCAGCAAGAGGTGATATCAATCCAGGGTGGTTCCATCCCCCGTGGGACATGACTCAATGTCTGGAGACATCTGTCAACACTGAGGACAGGGGTGGGGGACAGGTGCTACTGGCATCTGGTGGGAAGAAACAAGGGAGGCTGCTAGATATCCTACAGACATCCTATAAGAGGCCAGCCTCCACAACAAAGGATTATCTGGTCAATGTCAACAGTACCGAGGTTGAAAAACCCTGATGTAGACAGCACGATCTTTCGCTGACGTAGCCTAGCCTGACATGACCTGCCCTGGACCCTGCCCCAGAACCCAGTCCCCTACAAGCACCCTGGGCCCGTACCCAAGGAGGCCTCTGCCTGACTAAACACTTATATTAGCTGTCCCTGGGCCTCAGGATCTCAGTGCACCTTCCCCTCCCCCTCCAAGTCAGCACTGCCTCCAGAAACAGAGCTTTACAGGAACCCCACCTTCACACATGCCAGCAGCAAGTGGCCTCCCCAGAAGACAGGGGGTTTCACTTGCAGGCACCTTTTCTGGTAAGATTGGGCTCCCAGGTAGGTAAGAGCCATCATCTCAGAATGGACAGGTAAAGGGATATAAGGTATTCCCACCCTCCCCATCTGACCCTTCTCACCTGTGACAAGTCCTTTCTTGCTGCTGCTTCTAAATAACCTCAATGTCCATCTCGCCGCACAGGACCTGGCCCCCGGCAGATACCCATACACGCTCATTTCCCTCCCCTGCCCAGGCCAGACCCCTCTCTTCCACGCCCTCTTCCTTCAGCCGTCTGTGCAGAACTGTTCAGTGAGCCCTGCTGGGCCCTGAGCCAGGAGGCAGGATGATGAACAAGACAGTCTTGGGCTCTGCCTTCAAGCTCTCAGAGGATGGCTCGACAGGAACTCATCCTCCCCCATCCCGCTCCTCCTCCAGGTCCCCATCTCAGTGACAGTGCCACCGTGACCCGGTCACCCAAGCCAACCAGCCCTCCTCAAATTCTCCCTTTTCCTCATCCCACACACCCAGCAGGTCAATAGCGGGTCAATACGTTTGAATCTGCCCTGCACCCATCCCAACCACCACGTCAGTAAGACTTTCACCACCCACCTCTTTTTTATAAATCCTCACTCGAGGATACGTTTATTGATTTTTAGAGGGGGGGGGGGCATTGATGTGAGAAACATTGATTGGTTGCCCCTGTACACGCCCCAACTGGGAAGAGAACCCACAACCTAGGTATGTGCCCTGACCTTCCGCAACCTCTTGGTGTGCGGGATGACACTCCAAGCTACCTGGCCAGGGCAACCGCCCACCTTTTAAGTGGGCTTCGTGCCTCTGGTCCCTCCCTCCCAATCCACTGTGCACACAAACCAATGCCCCCTTTTTAGCGCACTTTGCTTGGCTGCTTTATTTCACAGTAGACACAATGTTTCATAAGTAGACAAAAGGATGGGAAAATAGGTAGAGGAAGGCACGGATGCTGCTTCTCTGCTCAGGAACCTCCAATGCCGCCATATCACCCTCAGCAAACAGTCCAGTCTTTAGCCCGACATCCAAGGCCCATCATGCTCTGATTCCAACCTAACTCTCCAACCCACCCACTTGTGCTTCTAGCGGAAAGAAAAGAGAAGTGGACCTCAAGGAGACTAGGAATGAGGTGCTCCGGATCCTATGGGTACCCTACTCCTCCTACCACAATCGACAGTTGAAGAGAACAGTCTTTTCTACAGAAACACGGTAAACAGAAAAGCAGAGATCCCAGGATGTCACCCAGAAGCCGATTTCACACCTACAGCAGCCGACAAACTGTGTATCAGTCCCCACCCACCTCCATCATCCATTCCGGTCAGAAACCCGAGCAGTCCCTGACACCTCCCCTCCCTCGTGCCCCACATTCAATCCTTCACCCTGTCCTGTCTACCCCGCCTCCCTCAGAGCACTCACAACCCCTCTCTCCACCTCCATCCCCGCCGCCCTGGTCCAGGCCTCCGGCGTCTCTCAGCCACATGCACACCCCGCACACTTCGGGCACACTCACCAGGTCTTTGCTGCTCACACCAGTGACTCTCGGACAACCAGCACTCTTGGATAACCGAGGCCTCTGCTCCTTCCTGGAGAGAGTGGATAGAATGAGAACATTAAGAATTTCCTCACAGCAGAACAACTACTGACACAGAAAGACATTCAAAATTTACTGTTTATGCAGGGAGGGAAAAAAGCAGGTTATGGAACTGTTCCTGAAGGAAGATCCCCATTTAGTGACAATGCCCTTCACTTCACTCATTCACTCGCTTATTCGATACTCCTGAGCACCTACTATGTGCCAGACTTGCTCCCAGCCACCCAGGATACAGCTGGAAACAACACAGACCAAGTCCCTGGCTTCGGTAGTAAAACTGTGTCCAAACTCCTCGGCATAACCATCCAGCCAGTGGAGCAGCTGGCGAGGCCCCCCTCTACAGCACTACCTGCCCATGCTCCCCTCCCTCCCACCAGCCAACTGCAAGAGCTTCCTCTTCTGATCCTCAGATGTGCCACGTTTCTTCCAATCTCCCAGCCTATGCCACTGCCAGGAACACACTAGCCATGTTTTTCTAGCCAATTACCCCTCAGATCTCAGGGCCAATGGTTCTTTCTCACATGGTGTCCTAGACTACATGCTGGGCCTTGCCTTGGAGCAGTGACCACAAATGTGATGATTTATTTATTTACACATTTGCCGAGTGGTCGCTGAGTCACACCCATAAGCTGGGTGTGTGCCCGGTCCAGCTCTGTATCCCCAATACCCAGCAGAGAGCTGGCACATAGTAGGTGCTCCATCCAGGTCTGCTGAATGAGTGGATGAACGCATGAATGAGTTCACAGAAAACAGGCCAGCTTCGAAGAACCACACCAGCATACATGCAGCCTTCAAAGAAGCTTTAGAAACAATATTTATTTTTGACTTTCTGCTTCTCTATAATTTTTAAATGAAGGCGTGCCCTGGAATGCCTCCTCCGCTGGCACACATA